ACAAAATTGGTTTGTAGGTACGGGACTTAAACTCACTGAAGGGCCTGCGTTGCCAGGCGGGTTCTGTGGCCCTTTCTTTCTGTTCCCAGAGGTCCTGTTTAAAGGATTCCTAGGCTTCTTGTGTGTGGGATCTGATGATGTATTCTACCGCCTATTGTGTTTGCTCCCTAATCTATGGTCTTCTCTTTCAAACGAGCATGTGGCTCTCCAGGCCAACATAAAGACGTGCAGTCTCATGTAAAAAAGAAGAGGTAAGTTGCAAAAAGAAACGATTGGGCCAGTTCTTGGCCAGCAGGAGGAGGCCCAGGTCCCATGGGATATGTGTGTCTGTGAGAGCATGGGATGCTGCATCCTGGCACTGCCATTGTTGCTTAACCATCGGGCATGCCAGCTAGTAAAGTTCCTTTGTTGCTCTAGCAGGTGGCGTCACTCTTCCACAATACGTGCAAATGGGAGACGGTAGCCCCTTTTGCTCCAAGTCCGATCTTGACATGAGCCAATCCGGGGTGGGGAGGCAACGGTGCAGAATCTGCCACTGCAGGGAACTGAGATTGGTAGGCATAATCATAGCATGTTTGGGCCACGGTAGGTGGTCCAGTAGCTTCTGGTCCATCGGCGAGTCTCCTGCCCATCTTTGTGATATTGCTTGATCAATTGGCAGATTCGGTCTTGAGGCTCCATAGACCCCTTTCACCATGTACTCCCGCACATGCATGGGCTATGTGCCAGGCCTTTCCCATTCATCCGGATCAAACAGCAGCCTGGCAATTGGGATTGAGGGCTCATACACGAAGAAGCTGTTGTCAGCATCTCCTACCACTCTAACGACCACTGGCCCTCCCCACGTTTCAATTGCATCCAGGTCGCTATTCCTTGTCAATTTGGAAACCCTGGACCCCGGCAACTGAGGTTCGTGGGCATCTGAAGTACAACGCCCTTCATCATCCCGTCTGACTTTGTATACGGTACGTGGGAGGGGCAAATCTGCATGTCTTATTAATAGTTATTACCCAGTCATTCAACAGTACTGCAGGAACCTTTGCGAGGAGTCGAGGACCCGTCACCAAGCCAAGGGGAGTGCTTCCCTCCGTTGGAGCATTTTGTCTTCCACATTCTTGGCATGTTTCAGTTTTCGTTGCAGCTGGTTTGGCGAGGCCCAGTCGGCTGTTGTCTGGTACCACGGGTCCCCTACCGTGAAAACCCCTTTCTTGGCCCATGTGAGCCAAGGAGAGATTGTCGTTAGCTTAAAGGGGGTACCCACCTCGTCATAAATGTAAGGTTTTCTGAAAAGAGGTTGGCGCCACACATCCTGCCACCTGGTGGGAGGTTGTTTCTGTTGTGGTCCGCATCACCTCCAGAGCTTGATCATATTGGGCTACGGCGGGTCATTGTTTATATCAATTCTAGTTTTTTGGGTTGGGATGCCCCCCTGTCTATGCTGCGGGGGGATGGGGATTGTCCAGTCTTTATTAGTTGACCATTGGAAGTGGTGGACTTGACTGTATGTTCTGGACTCCGGTGCCAGGTTGGCTATTTGCAGGCCGGCTAATGGGGCCCATGGTATGTCATCGCCTACCAGCAATCTAATCAAGACTTTAAAGATCATGGCCTCGCTTTCCCTTTCCGAGTCTAATATCCCTAGTACCCCTTTGGTTCTTGGTTGTGGACATCCCAACTCACTCGGCTCATACAGCATTGAGCTTTGGCGCTGTTCTTCCACATGTATTTTGTGAGCGTTTTTCTCAGTCTGGTGCTCTGCTGCTTCTTTAGCGGTCATCCTGCTAATTTGTACCAGATGGCCACTAGGATAGCATTGTTAATTGCTAGGGCATGCCTTACTAGTGAGGTATGTAGCCCTTCCCAGTTCGTCAGTCAGTTGATGGCTGTATCCACTAGCATGTTACCATGGTCTGGCGACGAGCCTACTGACGTGAGTCTCACCCCTAGAATCCTTATGGCATCTCCCCTCCCGGCCCATGAGACTCTCGGTTCACGAGGAGGGGGAAGTGCTTCTGGATGGAACCACCACCCCTCCGTTTTAGAGCCCTAATTCACTTTCATATTTACTGCCAACGAGAATAAATGTATCACCTGGGTGAGGGCTGAGGTTGTCCGAGTCTGCCCTAATGAGGACCGTGAGGTCATCTGCGAGCAACGGTGTTATTGGGACCAAATGTTGGGAGATTTCTGAGATGGGCACCTTTGCAATCTCGGGGTGAGCCATGATAAATGAGGCCGAGGCTTTCATTACAATCACAAACAATAAGGGCGATGATATCCCCCTGCCGCACTGATCTGTATAGTTATGTTGGCAGCAAGAGATGGCAATGAGGCATGACATTTGTGGAGGTTGTTTGGTGGAGGATCCGGAACCAATGGCTAAAGACCAGCCCGAAGTTCATCTTGGCCAAGCACATGTTGAGGAAGTCCCAATCCACATGATCGTATGCTTTCTCAAAGTCTATGAACAGAACAGCTGCCCTGACATTGCGCTGACGGGCGCATTTGATGGTCTAATTGACCGGCGAGATATTATCTTGGATATTATGGTTGGGCATAAATCCAGTTTGGTCCGGCTGTATTAGCTCGTTCATGAACGAGAGCAGACAATTGGTCAGTGCCTTGACAATCATTTTGTACGGAACGGGCAAGAGGGTGATAATCCTCTTTGTCCCTTTTCTTGTTAAACCAACCAGTACTTCGCCCAGCTATCGTCCCTGCTAACGTGCCGCGCCTTTAGAGCGTCGTAGTATCCGACCACAATAGCTGGAAGCGCCAACCAAAAAAAATTGAAACGGTACCCCAGCGCTTCGGCAAAAATTGGCGTGCAGGAGCATTCCAGGCTTGGCATCGATAGCTGGGCCAAGTACTCGTGGTTTAAGAAGTGTGATGACATCTTGGTCGATCATATGCCTCCAAACAAGCCCTCCTTTTGGACTGTCAATCTATATTCCATGAGGTCCTCCTTCAGAAGTTCTCAAAAATCCACCCTAAACTCTTTGGGAAAAGAGTCGATTCCTGGCATCTTCTTGTCTTCCATGTCCTGCAGAGCCGCCCAGAGCTCTTGTGGAGTAAAGCTCTTTTCTAGTTCTTGTCTCTGATCTTGTGAGAGTCGTGGTTTTAGAGCTTGGAGCAAAGTTTCTCTCACGTGCTAGAGACCTCTTGTGGGTGTTTTGTTGGTGTCTGGGATGTAAAAAGAGGTTACAGTAGTATTTGGCCGCATAATCAACTATGGAATATGTGTTAGTGGCCACCGGAGCATTGTCCTCCAACGGGTGTTTGGGCCTAGGGACACTGCTGGCCCTTGATCTGGCCTTTGCCTTATTAAACAAGGTTTTTGCCATTGTCCCGTCAGTATGCCCTTTCTTAACTGTAGCCAGTATCCCCCATGCCTCCGACTGCTGCTATACTTAGTCCTGGAGGTGATCTCTGGCTTCCTGCAGTTTATCAAAGGAGGGGCGGTGTAGGGGGTCTTGCATAAGTTGTTCATCCCAATCTTCCGATTCCCGCATAGGGCTCAAGCCGGACTTTGCGGTCTCTTGCATATTGGACTGAATTGTTTTTGGCTCTATCTCTCAATTGTGCTATTCCCCTCGTTAAATCAACCCACCCTCTCTCCCGATCGCAGCCTCTGGGTTCGCCAGTAAAGTCAAAAGGTGGTGACCATGTCCTTAAAGTTAGACAGACGGAGGAGGGAGGTGTTGAACTTGTACAACCAGGTCCTTTACAAATAAGAGGCCTTTTGTTATCATTCTATGGTCAAAAGATTTGGAGGGGATGATGGTAGTTACGTCCGCAGTAGCAATCAGCCCTCTTTAAGTCTTTTGACACGAGGGTGAGTTCTATACGTGAGTTTGCCAGACCCTGTGTCCCCTAGATGACAGGCAGGTGTAGGCTGTTTGGCTCGGATGCAGTGGTCTATAGGCATCCTCTAGTTTCTGCTCCGCCATCAGTTGTCTGAGCATGAGTATATCCGGGCCCAGTTTTGGCTGAGAGAGGTTCACCTGGCTGGACTGATGTCCAGCAGATCTGCACTCTATTAGCGGGTCAAGAGTCGTGTTGAAGTCGCCTGCCATTATTACCGGGGTGTCGTCCGGTAGATCCTGGAAAAGGGAGAGCCAAAGGTCTATTCTACCTGTCGGGTCATCGGGTGCATAAACACAGACCAAGTAAAATTCATCCTTTTCATACGCCACCTTAAGACTACCCCACCTCTCTTGCTGTGTGTCATGATCAACAGTCAACAGTTTGAGTTTGAGTTTGGAGGAGGGAGGGATCCAGATTGCTGCTCCTCATGCCCTCTCTTTTGCAGGTGCAGCATAGCTTACGTATGGCCAGATGTATTTTGCTTGTGCTGTGTGTGCTGGGGTGTCACCAGGTGTGTCTACACACTCCGTCGGGCCAACCCCCATTGACGTTCAAATCATGTTGAGCAACATGCCCCTTCAACAGAGGATGGGGGAAGGGTCCGAAGGGGAAGGGGTAGGGAGGAGAAGAGGAGGACGGAGGTCAAATTGGTAAACCAGTAAATAAAAAAGTGCCCACTGATATAACTACCGTGTTCACCGGAACAGAACCCCGACCGGTCATTATAGCTGTATTTGGCGTCACTTTCAGTCCAGATGCAGCGATAATGACCTGGTATTCTATTCGGGTGAAAACGGTAGTAGTGGACATTGATTAGCTCCAAGGAGAAGACCACAGGACAGCCATTGTCTTCTTTTTTATAATACATCCAGCAATGCAAGAAACCCCCGAAAACTCGTCCAGTGCGTCAAGTCCCATCAAGTCCCATCAACATATTTCGCTTTTCCCACCTGGCGCCACTTGAAAATTTTTCACTCTGCACCCGATCTTACAACTTGGATGGCGTGCAGCACAATTTCGGAATGGAAACCACTGCCAACAATAGAAACACACTTTTCCACTTCGCTTACACTTACAGTTATCCCAGCTGGCATCATTCACCGCAAGTACGGCCCCCCACTTTTTCACTTCCACGTGTCCCAGCTGATCACGCCAGTCGCAGCTGGCACCATCTCACTGCAAGGTGCTGTGTTTGTGTTACGTTTGCAGTGAACATCGCAACTAATCTATCTTCACAAGGAGAGAAACAGTTGTTTGCGACTGCGGCGAAAAAGATCCCACACGACAACACACTCAACCTTGACACCAAGTTCTGTGTCATGCCCACGTGGCGACTCTGCATCATCTTATAACTTTGCAACCAGTCACTGAAGCTCACCTTAACTTTGTCATGCTCTGTATTTGTTTTAACTTTAAAGGGGTACACCCTAACATTATTGTATCATTCATACTCTACCAGGACTCCAACTCATGATCTGTTTACTGATGTTTGGTTACACGTGCATACCATTATAACTTCTCACTCATTTTTACCATGCACTGTATACAACGGTAAATCAACGAAGAGTCGTCGGAAGGGGGAAAAAAAAACAAAAAAAAAAAACGAAACGGAACAAAAATGTCAAGGAGCAAGGCAGAAGTTGACCGAGCAAGGCAGAAGTTGACCGCACACACACCTCGATCGGCTCAGAGTCTTCCCAATTTTAGTCCATGATGGCTTCTTTGAGCAATAATAGTCGATCCAGCAGTAGTCTGCAGTCCAAGGGCAATCCGTCTCACACTTGTGCCTGCTTCATCATAAATAATATCAGTACTCAGTCCTGCAGACCGGAACGCGTGCTTCATCTTAGAGAATATCAGTACTTAGTCCTGCAGACCGGACCGCTACAAAACAACAACCACAGTAACCACCATAATTGTGATTTCCACGCAATCAGGACATAATAGCCATGCACCTGGCCAAGAAACGAACACGTAAAAATGTCAACCGACTAATGGCTCCTTGCCGAAAAGACCGGCAAGGCTACAACCAAACAATCCATTGACCAAATATTGACCGACAAATAGCTCTCCCACGCACGTCGCCCCTGTACAGGCCCCGCTAGACTAGACGAGGTTGATACATCCTTCGGCACCATGGGCAGCAGAACGAGACCACGGCTCAGGTCTATCGGTTCCCCTCCCAGTCGCTTCCGCAGGTCTGTAGGCTGACCACAGCTCCCTGAGTCTCTCTCAAAAGAAAATGGAAAAAAAAAGGGAGGTGGGGGTGGGGGGACCACAGCTCAGGTCTATAGGCTCCCCTCCCAGTGGCTACCGCAGGTCTGTAGGCTGACCACAGCTCGCTGAGTCTCTCTCAAAAGAAAATGGAAAAAAAAAGAGGGAGGTGGGGGTGGGGGAGGGGAAGGGGCAGGACCAATGCAAGCTTAGAAGACACAAGATCCTCGTTTCCTGAATTTGCTTCCTGTACAGAATCAGTCCAGCCAATGAAAATGAAAATAGGGTAGTGGCACCGCCACCAAATGCCTTGAATGAAAGGCCCCTAAGATGTACCACCTTTCATGCTGCCATCAATATCAGCTCAAAGCTGAGACAGCTGCACTTTATCTATCCTTGTTTACTTCGGGCAAAAAAAAAAAAAAAAAAGCCTGAAAGCTGAGAACGGTTGACTTCTCCTATCTCAGTTACTAATAGAAAAAACAACAACAACAGTTTGCTGAGTAGTTGAGAACAACTTAAGCAAATCAACATACTTCACCAGAAGAAAGGAAAAGGCAAACTTTGATCAAAATGATAAACAAAACAGCCTATTGACGGCTATACTCCAGAAGACAGTCCCGATCCGGGATGTGTCAATGTCCCTAACAGCTTTCCTTGCCAATAACCTATCTCTTCGAGCAGCGTTCAGCAAAACGCATCTAAGCAAGCGTTTGGTACAGGTACATCTTCGAGGGGCATCGGTTACTCCTCACAACATAAGGTTCACTAAACTATCTACTTGGCAGTAGACTTCTGCTGCACAAACACGTGATAAACCCCCCTCTTCTGCGCCTACAATCATCTCAACAATTCAGCTGTGCCTCGCATCAAATCTGCTGTGCATCTCTTCTACGACTTCTGCTTCCCCTGCCCTGCCTGTGCCGATTTCCACTCCATTATTGCAGACCTTAAGGTATGATTCGGGACTAGAAGCTTGTGAGGGAGCTTCAGATTCGTCATCGGTGACGTCTGGTGTTTTATAAACCACCCCTCGATTCCAATTCTCTCGTACGTGTAACCATCCGCCGCAACCACAGGGTCCTCCATAATCTCTGCAGTGATTGGACAAATGAAATGCTGCTGGAGGCGAGGAGCAAGGTGAAACTGCTTCTCTTGAGCATCCACATCCTTACCAGATTCCACAGATTTTGCATCGGCATCAGAAGCACTTGGCTTGGCCTTCTTGTGCATGCTGGCGTTGGCACTGGAGCTCCGCCATCCGCTGAAATACGAAGAGAACGATCTTGACGGAGTGCCCTTGTGACCAGCAAAGACATGCTCAGAGTCGTGCTCAGGATATGTTTTCTGTCTGCCAAGCTTACAGAGATGAACATCGGCCTCGATCAACAAAGCATCGTCGTCGTCCAAAAAACCGCGTGCCAGATCATCGACTGCAATGAACTCCTTGAAACCCCAATAGTTATCGGGGTCGTATGGCCGGAACCTGTGAAACCCGTTCCTCTGGAAATTGTACGCAGAATTGTACTGATTGACAACTCTGAAGCTAATTTGGACAAGCCGGCTCCATGACGAGGGGAACTTGGTTGTCGAGCCGGAGGTACACAGATGCAAAAAGATAGAGACATCCCTAACATTAGGCTTGGGACGCGTTGATAGGCGCCATTTGTATCCTCCAACCGTGAACTCGTCTGAGAAGAGTTTCTTCAGCCTTAACCCTGTGTAATTCTTGATCCTCCAGCTAAAGGTGCAGTTATCCTCGCCGCTGCTCCCAGTCACACGACCACCAGACAGTGCACGGACTGGCGTTCCATAATCACCAGTCTCATCGGCATCTTCCTCGGAGGAACTGCGCACAGATCCAAAACCACGACCAGATACGTCACCCTGCCCTGCTGTATCTTCTACTCCTTCCTGTTCCGCTCTGGCTGAAGGTTCTGCGTCCCGCACTTGGGGCCGGTCTGCTGCCAGCGGTGAACTCTCAGCGCTGGTTGCATCGTGAGTCGCCACAGACAGATCTGATGATCCACTCGACTCTTGCCCATCCACTTGTCTATCCGCTTGCTCATTCACATCTTGCATTGAAGAACACTCGCTACAGACACTGCCAAGAGTGTCATCTGTCAAAGTCCGGGCAACCACCGGCGGCGCGTCCTCACGGGTTGGGGTGTCGAGCTCCGATTCCTCCACAAGTGGGATGTCAATCATCGACTCCTCTCGAACCGGAACATTTACCAGGAAATCCTCCTCCTCATCGGGAGCTGGAAGCCCAACCTCTGATTGCCCCTCAGCAGGTGGCAATGGCGCTTCAATCGGTGCCTCCAGGGCCACGGGTCTGGAGGAAGAACTTCCTGCAGCAGCATGTCGTGAGCTGCTCCTCGAGTGACTTGACCTCCTTGGAGTCGGTCGAGTCCCTCTACGACATCCCTGCATAGAGCGGCGGGATGTCGTTCGAGGTGTTGATGCGCATTGGAAGAGGCTGGTTAGAAACATCAGTCCTGATTCGTTGTCACGCGTCAAAACCAAGGATGCAGAAAATGACAGACGGATGGAGAAATCAGAAGAAACACCCCTTTTCACAGTTTCATTGCCATCTGACGATTGTTTGTCGAGCTGGTTGAACTAATTCATCTCCACTTTATGCCGCCGCCAATCAGATATGAATGCTCGTTGAATGTTCCCAGCTCAATCACATGGACAGTTCACCCGCACACCTGAGAAGACTGTTCCTTCTCTTAGCAAGCAGATGTTGGGTGTTTGTCAAGTTCGAAGAAACAAACTGGTATCGAAGTTCATACAAGAAGCATGCACACAGGATTGGCCCACTCATTTCTCACCTTTCCCGCAACTTCCGAAATGAAAGTAGCTTTATAGTCAGACACATTGTCGACAAGCTCTTCATGCTCGACAAACACTGATGCTGTCACCTCCACCCTCACAGCATCTTCAGTCCGCTTTTCATTCGGATTTCCAGTCCATATGTTCAACCAATGATAGCCTGGTTGCTGAGGCATCCCATCACAACGAAGACTGCAAACAACAGAAAACAATAACAGCCAAACTAATGCATTTGAGAAACGCATCCATGTGACTTCAGAATGTCTCCGGGAAAAACAAGACACACACACACACACGAATGCACACATGCACATGCACCCCCCACCCCCAACACCCGCCCCCCCACACCCACCCACCCACCCACACACAGCTGGCGATTGTATATGAAGAATAAAGAAAAAAGGAGGAGCCCAAGAGCGAGAGGAGGCAGACAGTTGAGATACGTTGCAGATCAGCCAACACACAGAGCTGGCGATTGTGTAAGAAGAAGAATAAGCAAAAAAAAGAGGAGCCCAAAGGGCGAGAGGAGGCAGACAGTTGAGGAACATTGCTGATCAGCCGTGAGCATTTGAAATATACCAGTCGACGGGACCACTATTCGCGATGGAAATGCCTCCTTTTGTCCTCAAACCACACACACATACACATCAGAAATCAGATGCGTGTCACTCGGATGTCAGACGAACATCCTTGAATACTGGTCCTTGGCCAACAGGACCCTGCCCCCAATGTTATGATTAACAAGGCAAACTCCATTCACAATACAGGGTTTCTATTTGTAAAGCTCGTCTTTGTTCTAGTTTGAACCGCCGGTAAGCCTTTTAACTCCGGCGCAGCAGTTCACGGGCTGCGCCTTTTGGGGCTCAGCGTGCCGAACTGAAATGGCCATGCACGCCAGCCAAAAAACTTGAAAAAAGGAAGAAAATCACACCCCAATTTGGCAAAACTTGGTGCGCATTGGAAATCGGCCTCGGGGAAAAGAGGCTCAGAAGCACTGGTGGTTTAAGGAAAAGACTTCTGCCACTACACATCGGATGGAGCCAGCAACCAACGAGGGCAGCTATTGGCCACGATTTCATGTCTGGTGGCTCCCACTATGATCCGCTAGTATTTTCCACCATACCCCTAGTGTTTTCCACCATACCCCTAGTGTTTTACACCATACACCACAAGGTTCAGCCCTGAGAAATCACCTTGAGAAAGGAGGGCCATTTGGTGAATGGCCCTTTTTCAAGTAGAGCCTTCTCCAGAGGTCCACATCCCCAACAAACATCAACAAAGGAAATGACAGTTAAACCACCGGCGGCACACAGCCCCAGCCTTGCAAGATTTCTTCATCACCTAAGGAGGCTCGAGCTACCGTACCACAAAGACTGGCGGCGAAAGCCAAAAAAAGAAAAAGTGTGCACCGCTGGCGGTTGGGCGAAGCTTGGCGCGCAGTGCGGTGCCGCAAGGACTGGAAGTGCCGGTGGTTTAAGTCCATCACACAGATTCAAACTACATCATTTTGGGGGAAGAGCGACATCCTTTTTAAAAGCGGAGGCGGACTTTATGAGAGGGCCCAATGCTCCTGATGACCTCATTGCCCAAACCTTAGGTTACGAGTACTCGGGAACCCATTTCCTCGAACCTGGTATTTACGCTGACGCTGGCCTTTACAAGCCTCAATGGTCAGAGTCCACTAGGTCATGCAAGGAGGGGAAACCATTTGGATTCAGTTTTCAACTTTGCACCCAAACATTGTGACAGAGAAGAGGCTTGTGTTCGATTTTTGAACTATGTTCCTAACACAGCATGGCCTACCGCCCATCCACAACGTTGTTCGGTTTTGCTAAAGGAGACGAGAATAAAAAATTGCCAAAATTGCCCTCCTTCAACCCCGTTGAGTTCCAGCAGACTGGTCATGCCTGCAACCTCCAAGTCCGGCGGCACACGCACTGTTCACCAAAATGGGTACTTGACACTTGTCGTTTAAAAGTACCGCTCCTCCCGGACAAATTCTCAGCCCAGCATCAGGAAATAAGTAAGTAACAGAGAGGTTTGGCCACACAGCCCACCTAAGCTCGCTGTTTCGCACAGGCCTCACCCCTCGGTGGTTCAGCACATCCGGGCCACATGCATATATGAGGCTCACCAAAATAGAGTCAAGAAGCCTGGTAATTTCAGCAACAGACAACAGTGCCACAGGCCAAAAGAAATAAGCTCAGCAAGGCATATCCCTATTCTCTCACTCTGCACTTCAGTGATATACACCTGCGCATATGTGACAGGTGCACATGATTGCACCGGGCAAATTCCGTCTCAAGCCGGGTAAATGGTTCTATTCCGTACACGATACGATCTGGGATAAGGCGCAACTGAGATCACTACAGACCAGGCTTTTTCAACTTTTATTTCTTTCTCCCCACACAGGGAACACGACGGGGGCAACTTGCTTTTTCCCTTTCTTTTTTTTTTTCCTTTTTTAAAAAAAAGGGCGATGGCCTTGAGATATCATCACTGAAGCTGACCGGCGCTTGAGCTAACTCAGAAATTATGTTATTCTCCGCATCTGATTGTATCTGGATTCGAACTTGAGTCTGTATTTCAGCAGTTCGTGGGTTTACCAACTGAGCTACGCTCGTTGGTGCAACTCGCTTTTTTGAAAGGGCGACGCGTTGAGATATCATCATGAGGGTGACTGGCCGCAGGTAATTCAGGAGCAACCAACTGAAGAAGGTAATTCAGGAGCAGGTAATTCAGTTCTAGTTCAGTGTGGATTCCAACTCAAGTCTGTATTTCAATAGTTTATAGGTGCACCAACTGAGCTAGGCCCGCTGGTACTTGATGTCCTGTGACCTCGAAAGGCCAACTGTATCATTTGGTTCAGAAAGGTGAGGCTGTAAGCATGCGTGACAGGACACAGCAGCCGCAGGGGGAGGTCCTATGCTCGCCAGGATCTCATCCACAAAGGGAGAGTCACAAGGTAATGTTGCATAGTACGAGCAACCTGGAAAAGGCATTTCACATTGACGAAAGAATACATGTCTGCGGTACCTAGCGCTGCGCCATTGTAGTCAAATAAGACGGTAATTATCTCCAGTTGATTCGGTCATCCAGGGGAAGGCCTTTATATCTTCGAATTACATTCTTCAACTGGAACACCAGGTAATCATGCCTGTTCCTTGCATGAAAACTGCACCAGATGCGTTGATAATGATGTCATGTCCTACATGCATCAGTTGAGCGACGCACAGTGCAGTGGGGCCCAGCCTTGGGGAACACACAATAGAAGCAAGGCGCCAGTGGTGCCATCTACAGGCTTAAAAAAGCAAGGTTGTGGTCTTCTTACGGGCAGGCCCCACTGCTGCTTCATTAGTTCCAAAGATAGCCAGAATCCGTCCATTCTTAAGACTAGATGGGAGGTCACCTGAGAACAATCAGTACCAGTAGGTCATGCCCCTCGCAAACGTGGCAGGACGACACTGTATAACCTATGCACCATGATTGTCTCTTGTCCCTCTGTTGGATATTTTGTCCCTCCCTCCTACCGAAAGAAGAAAAAGATCATTAAATGTCCCTTTTTCTTTGTCTTTTAGAACAAACAGTGCTCGAATCTATTCATGAGGAGCAGCACATGCTGGCAACCAGGCCCAGGATCCCTTATGAGAAAATACACAGGACAATTTGGAATACTGGGGCCATTACCTGGCTTCGCCTGCAAAAAGCAAACTGCTAGGCTGTTCCTAAAACTCTCTGAAAACTTAAAAGACTTCCTGGAAAAAAAAAAAAAACAGGCCTAGCTCAGTTGGTACACCCGATGGACTGTTGAAATACAGACCCAAGTTCGAAACCAGATGCAGTCAAAATCAACACAATAACGTACTTCTGAATTGCCTAGGGCCGGTCAGTTCAATGATGATATCTCAAGGTCGTCGCCCTTCCTTAAAAAAGGAGAAAAAGAGAGGGGAGAAGGATGCCGTGTCGATACCCAATAAATCCAACGAAGCCTTCGCTGACATCACCCCTATCCCAGATCTCTACGAGGCCTCACGCCCCAACAAGCGCAGGTTACAGGGCAGTGCAACCTCGCCCCAGCTACGGCCAGCGTCGTTCTCGCCCTCTGGCCACTGAAGTGGCCCCCAGGCAATTCCCCGGATTTCTCTACCAGGCCTCATCCTCCCGCCCAGCAGCAGGTTACAGGGCAGAACAACCTAACCCCAGCTCCAGCCAGCATCGTTCTGGCATCGGCCATCCATGGGCCACTGAAAGTGGACTGTGTGTCCACAAAGCCCTGAAATGGGCTATTGGAACTCTATAGGTATCCAAAAACCATCTCCTCACCCCTCTCCAGTCTTCTTTTTCAAAAAGAAATTATGCATGGACCCTTTGATGAGGTAATCGCCTAGCCCCAGGAATGTCCGCAAGGGAAATAAAAGACCCTCATCTCCATCAGCCAAAAGGGTGCCCGGTGCCAATCGAACCGGGGTTAGCTATTTGTCGAACTCTTTGAAAGCAGAAAATATCACCGTTAGAACAGGAACTGACAAGGGGTGGTCGGACTAGGGGAAGCAGGTTTAGGGGAGGGTCCTGTCCTAGTACTGAAGATACCACCTTCAACTCAGCCTGTGTCAAACGTATCATGCCCTCGAATTGGAAAAGCACATCAGGAAAGATACATTTTAAATTTTAATATGATCTCAGTTAAGGGTAGGAACCTCAGAGTCAGTTGCATCCATCAAGCCACTACGATCCCCAAGATGTACCATCCACCATGCCAGTATATGCGGCGTAGCTTGGCAGAGCACGGAAGTGGCATTCAGGATGTCATGGGTTCGATTGCCCACATTTTTCATCTGGATCCCCACTGCCTCCTGCGGCGCGCTGTGGGTTCACCAGCTGAGATAGGCGGCTTGCACTCCCTGGTTGGGGTCCTGGTAGGGGCTATTCCTTCGTCCCTTCCATCCCTCACCTGGGGTTAGGCCCAACCCTAGTGAAGCAAGGTTTCCTGAGCTGTTTGACATGGGCAGAGGCTGGTGCGAAGACATATAGATAGGCAGGTAGCGTGAGTTATAATTGAGAGAAGACTATACCATCCCTCACCTGGGTTTAGGCCCAACCCGAGTGGAGTAAGGTTTCCCAGAGTGTTTGACATGGGCGGAGGCTGGTGCAAAGACATATAGATAGGTAGGTAGTGTGAGGTATAATGGAGA